ACTTATCATCATCATTTTACTATCAAATTGAAGATGACTATTTCGGTTTGCAAAAGTGCATTTATCGTATTGCATTCTGTTATGAGCGTTAATTAAGTTCTAATGTTCTGTGTAAGACCGCCTTCATCTAAAACATTGGACCAGAAGACAGAGAGGGAGAGGGAGAGCGAGAAACAATCTTAGCCCGGTTATAGTCACAAAAATGTTATCGTAATTTATTATGATCGCGGTTTTGATGTTGATATGCAATCATAAAACGGCATGCGCTTGTGTGCAATGACGAGAAAAATGTGGTTCTCTTTCATAAATTGCGGGCGCAGTCAATAAACGTTGCTCTTTAATTTAAATCATTTTATTTAATTATTTCTCTTTAAAAAAAACTCGTATAACGAAATTTTCCGACATAAAAATGTTCGTCTCTTTTATAGATGCAGCGCTTAGTTGGCCGCTTTAGATTTTGTAGTATGGCATTAGGCAAATCGGTTGGACAATCATGAACGAATCGATGGCACTTAATATCGAAGTTCAGTTTATGATTTTTCATTTAGTCGATTGCGATACGCGCGTATTCATCGTCGCGCTTTTTTTTGTCTTTCTTTTCTGCTTTTAATAGATCATAATCGTTTTAAATTATGATAGTGAAAGACCACTCACATCGTACCTTATCTTTGCTGCTCTCTTCGATTTTATTTCCACTCGAACTTTTATTATTTAATTTTAATAGTTTAATGAACTAAAGTCCCATTTTATGTCATACAGCTATTTAAGTGCATCCCAATAAAATTGAAAAATATTTCGATGCAGAGTAAATAAAAAAAAATCAAATAAAAATCGAAGTAAAAATTACACATAAAACGCCCGCGATGCAAGATGAGAGAAAAACAAAACAAAAAAAAAATCACAACCACCAATGTTATTGCGACACTGAACGAAATGCTTTGCATTTTGAAATGCAGACCGGTCGAACAATGACATAGATTTTGTGCTTCATAACTCATTCAAATCGACCACATGATTATCATTGTTTGGCAAACGTTATTTTAAGTGTTCTAGCATTGTGCAGTGGTTTGTGGTAGAAAAGGGTCACCTAAATCTACATTCCAATTTTATGACTACGTACACAAAAGTGGTCATTTCATTATCCCTGTGCGAATTTGCTACTGGTTTCCATTGAAACATTTCGATTTTACACATTTACAACAGGAAATACCTATTCGAATATAGTTCGTGAAATATCATAAAACCGATCAACGTTTGCAAATTGGATCTGTAGCATATTTGGTTCAATTTAAACGGAAAATAAAATTTTTAACAGTTCTGGCTAAAAAAAAAATCAGTGTAGCAATGAGCAAAACGAATTTTGATTGACCAGAATGAAAGTTTTGTTTTGGTCAGTGGCACACACAGTGACCAAACAATAGGATTATATAGTTCAACAAACTGATTTTCGAAAGAGCAAAAAAAAAGAATCGGAAAACTGACCTGAAAAGTAAACAGGAAAAAAAGTATCAAAATAGTCAAGTAGAAAATCGAATCGATTAACATTGTGCGAAAGAGAAACGGTCAGAGTGTGTCTGAACGTATGTATATGTATATTACCCAGGCTATAGAACGGTCAGCCAAAAGTGCATCCATACAACAACAATAAAACGTTTAAGCCTTTTGTCTTTGTTCCTTTTTTTTATTGTTTATGTTATTTATTACTTAAGAACGCTTCGACACCCAGCTCTTTTACTGGTCATTTTCAAGCAAAACCAAAATCCGAACGGGTACACAAAATATTCATTGATATTCTTTAATTCATGTGGTTTCTTTCCATTCTCCATGATCAGTAGCAGCAAATTTTGAATGGTATTTAGTTGGAAATGCTCAACCTCTTCTGTTCTCTCTCTCTCCCCCCTCTCTCTCTCTATGTGTTTTTGTTGTTGGTGTTGTTGTTTTCTCAATTCACACTATGCACTCGTTTTATTTTTGTGTATTTGAATTTCCATCCAGATCATAAGCCTTGGGGACTTTTGGTGTTGTTTTGGCTATGTGTTGACATTCGTATTGGCCATGACCGTCGAATTGTTTGGAATTGCAATCTGTTTATTTCGGATTTGTACGCATTTTTTTCTAAAGCATTTTACTCTGTAACTGATAAAAGAAACAGATTCGTAAACAAACTTAAGTTCATAAGCCGTTTGCAGAATTTATCTAAAACGCCATAAATCATTATGTACTTCGTTTTTTTTTTGTAAATTGTGTAAGAATTTAATGGGATTTTTGCATAGCTATTCCGTTCAGAATTTATTTAATCTTTTTATCTACTACCTAAAAAATAAGCCAACACCTACGTATGCGCAAATTTTTTTGTTGTCTCGGTTAAGTCAGCTCAGAGCAAATTGGCAGCAGTGAGAAAGGTGAAAGCGTGAAAGGGATTGCACACAACCGGTGGCAAAGGTATACAAAATATAATCAGCTCATCTTTTCGCTGGAAATGTTAATTCTGATTTTAAAACATTTTTTTCTATCGAAATTCAATCATAATGCAATTTATTTTGCATAAATTTATAAATTGTAATGATCGAAGATCCATTTTACAAAAAAAAAAAACATTCAAATTCAAACAAAAATGTAAAATCTTAAGATAGCATATTCAATGCAAATATTTTCTTACCTACCAAATTGTAGGTCGACGGTCACTGCAAAATATTCTTCAAAGACATATGTTTATGATGAGTGTCTTTTGTACCTTCTTTTGGCACTGCAAAAACATTTGAATGGAAACAAGAACAAAAAGTAACACAATTATTGTACACCAATAAACCAAATTCCGGGCAATAACTACAGATACAGATTGTATACAAGTAAAGAACAATTTGGTCATAATTAAGACAGAAAATGTCCGAAATGCATAAATACTATGTACAAGTGCTGGGCATAAGCATTATGCAAAATTTTGCAATTGCTTTGACACAACAGTTTTGTTTTTTACCTAATTGGTTTTTTGTACTCTGCCATAATTATTGGCAATAAACTAGAGTAAATATATGAATGAGTCTTTCTATCCCTCACTTCTTCCTCAAATACAAACTGCTTACTATGTTACTGAGTAATTACGTCTCATTTTATTACACGGTAATTTAACGAAAAAATAAAATCAATTGCGTATATTTTTTCTCGCAAATTAACAACGACCTTTGTTATTCTCTTCAGTATGAATGATATGATATATGTATTGTATATTGCATTTCAGTCACACAAACATACTGTTATCGATAAGTTTCCCAATGATATGAACAAAACGAATACACTTACTTAGTAAAAATATTGGATATCCCAGAATAAATTGCTGTGACTGAAGGTACGTTGCCGAATATTGCATAGATATTTTTACATTGTTTGATTGTTTACTTTTGTTATTAAATGTGAACCGTTTTAGTTGTTTTTTTATTTTTTATTTTCATTTTGCATGACCATTCTAAGACTCGTTAGACATTTGCATGTTTTTCTTCTTTTCAACGATTTCGCTTTCAAAACAACTATTGTCATTACAATCCATATAGATAAATGTTTTATGATAACTCAGCATTCACATCGCTGTGTATTTGAAGATTTCTCATGTCACATGTTAAAAATAAATCATGACCAATACTCGTTTGATGTTTGTGCCTGGTCCCAAATTCAACTAATATGATTAATCTATTGACATGGAATAGTTGATTGATGTAGCGAAGCGAGAGAGCACTTATAAGTTCAGGTGTACATGATTTTTTTTTTCATTTTATTTCCAGTGATTATTGGTTTTTACCCGATGCATCTATTATAAACTCAAAGTACACACATATAAATACGCATACATGGATGCGAATACATACGAATGATCAGACTCCACCTATACGATTTACTATTGTCTCTTTCTTCTGCTCTGTTACGTTTAGCAGAAGAAAAACAACAACAACAACAAGAAGAAGAAATTCCGTGGACACGGCATCAATAAATCAGACATCAAAAGTTCATAAATAAATATTGATTTGAATAAAAGAATATCGGTGTATCATCGATGGTATGTGTTTCACACCATGGACAAATAGCCAACACATTGATCTAATATTTTGTATCGAATCGCACAAAAGCATACGGTTATACGCATATATCGGTTGTTGTTTTTTTTTTAAATAAAATCATGCAATAGTGAGATTGAGAATGTCACTATCGACAGAGAAAATTATATGTTGTTCGATTTGGATTGATGAATTGGTGTACGATATCAACACAAACACACGTGTAACTTGATTCGTCCACATCCCTACCACAATTGTACGATCAACGCGTTTCGTTGCGGTGTGATGCGTTCTCTCTTTCGTGTTTCACATTCGTTTGCCGCTTATTTCACATTTATTTTTTTTCTTTTAAACTCAATCAACACAGATAGTTAGTTTACCTAGGGCATACACAAGGTACGGTTTATGATGCGCCATTGTGTTAGTGCGTTAGTATTTCAAATGAGCAACAGATCAGGAGAAAGACCAAAAGCGAGACAGATATACAAAGATCAACAAAGTCAAGAGAATGAAGAAGTAAACAATAACATAATAGAAGGCAAAACACACAACACACCAACTAACACCAATACAACCATATTTTGAAGATGTTGCGCTTAGTTTAATTTATTTTTTTTTTCACATTCATTCAGTGACGGTCGTTTCATACAGAAGTATACCAAATTCGTTTTTTTCTCGTCTCGTCAAATCTTTCGTATTTGATACCGTCGTGGTGGTTTTACATGTGCGACATTCATTCCAAGTATTGAGCACTGAATATTGATTGTGCGTGTGCGCAATCAATACAATTCACCTGTGTGTACTAACTTCAAAAATAAAAATTGTGCACATTTCGGTTTTGTCGTTCGTACCATTTATTTCCATTTCAAGACAAAAGTTGTTTGTTGTTTATCAATTTTGAGATACTTTGAGTTATTTTTGTTTTTTTTTTTTTTTTTGATATTTAAAAGAAATTAAATTGTGCGCAAATAATCTTGTGAGTTTTTTTTTTTTCAATTAAAAATTAATCTGTGCTAGAAGATATAAACGATTGTGAAGCATATTAAAAAGACATTTGCATAACAAATTAGTGCGTTTATTTGAGAAGAAAACAAAGTCAAAATGTTTTTATCGTGAGATTTCTTCAGCCGCTCCATTGATATTGGACCTAGCCAATTATTGTGCGCAATAAGTGACGAAGCAAACTTAACTTTGATTTATGAATTTTAACAGGTTAGTTAAATCTTATTGTATATACAAAATTTGATGATGTTGACACATATGTGCATTCGAGACGTTTTTTTTTAATTTTATGTTGATTACCCAAAAGATCTCAAGAACGAATGCACATGTCAATGAAACATAGTTGTTTTTTCTTCAATTTATAAAAGTAATTTCAATTATGAAAAACTATTGAATTGATTTTCATCGAAAGTTTTGATTATGAATAAATAATTTGTCAAGAACGCGCGAGCGCATATTTTGTCTGAGTACTTGTCAAGCGTGATGATGACTCATATGCAGAAGGAACGAATTCCCGAAAGTGGGAACGAAGGTGAATAAATGTAGGCATCATACATCATGCTGAAGATGGCAAAAATGTTGTTGTGGCGGGTGTGATTTGAATCAGTATGTTTTTTTCAAAGTAATAGTTACCGATTTTTTTTATACACAAAACCAAAAGAATGACCATTGAAAACAAAGGATCAAAGGAAGTGTTTGAATCATGGAGAAAAATGTGGTTTATTCAATCAACTGGTAAAGAGTTTCTGAAAAAAAGAAGATAAAGTCCGCATACATTTGGTTACGTTGAAGAAAAGAATGAAAAAAATGATCATCCAATTTCAATAAATTCGAATAAGATGACAAAAAAAAACAATAATGTCGGGTAAGGCAACGAAGATGTCAAAAAGAGAGAAAAAAAGTCGACTCAACAAAACACGACTTCCAGCAGAGAGAATTCTTTAACCAACATCTCACAGAAAAATGGGAACACAGCGAAAAAAACGAAGTTAAAACAAAACGAGGAAACAGAAACAGCGATCATGACGACAAGACAGCTACAGCAACAACAACAAATTTACGCACATATATGTGTATGTAGTACACACAGCAATCGTACATTTTCTTGTCAAATCGTCTCTTTTTCTCGCTGTGTTTTTTTTTCTTCCTCTCACTCGACCGATCAATATTGTTCCTCATGATTTCCCGTTGAAGTTGTGAAGCAAGTCATTTTCAAATCTTCACTTTTATAAATGTTTATGGGCAAACCTTAAACTTGTGTATATTTGTTATGATTAAATGTTCACAAAACATATTCATGTTGCCTTTAATTTTTTTTTCGGGGGGCTAAATTAATCTTTTGTGAGCACACGAATGAGACGCACGTAGAAAATTGAAATCATATCTGATACAAATACAAATATAAACGATGCGCTTGGCATCGAAATATCACATAATATTTGATGTGTTTTTGTATCTCAATGTGGGATCATGAAATTAAAAGTTATAAATACGACGAAAAAAATATGTATGCTTGTCATTAAAGTGAAACAAATATAATTAAATGTCACATTTTTAGATGATCAGAAGTTTCAAGGAATTAAAGACACTTTCGCCTATAGATGCGTACAGCCTTTGTTCTTGGACTCAATTTCAACAAATCACAACTAAATGTTCTAGTTTCATGATTAATGGAACATCAGCCAACGATTATGCCAGACATTATTATATTTTATTTTTAATTATAAATGAAAAATGAAGATTGCTACAGTTTTTTTTGACAAATAAATTTTATAATGAGTAGAAACTGTCTTTTATCTATCGTTGAAGGTGTGGATTCGAAAAGTTGCACCATACATTTTTTTTGGTGTCTTAAATTGATCAAAATCGATAAATGTTCAACATTATAGTCACCTAAAGAAGTTCATTTCGAACCGGGATTTCTACGAAATTTAAGATTATTATCAGTTGAATTTCATTGTGTGTCTTAAAATATTCAATTCTCAACTCTCATATTTCAATACAGGTTCTCTTTCAATAATTTCATTCGAATTTCGTTGCTTGAATAATATACAGAGAAAGAAAAAAAAAGTGTCGATTCCGTTTCCAATACGAAGCAGCGACATAATCTCACTCATTTTGTAATTGTCACGATTTTGGCAATAAATTCCACAAGTGATTGCACTTCCACCGAGCACAGTGAATCTCATTTCGCTAAATATTTGTAACGGTATTTAAATAAAACACCTAAATCGTGTTGCATTCTGATGGTAAAAATGGTTTTCTAGAAAAAGTTTTATCAATAACAATTTTGCTGTTGAAACAAAAACGCAAGCGCACCGAAAAAGTAAAAAAATAATATGCATTACCATGATTGCTTCCAAATTGATGCAGATAAGGTGAAATATGGTAAAGCAACAAAATGTACGTGCACTCGTAAATTCAGTATTTAGCAATTGAGCATTGAATTTACCAGGGAGTACGCGTGTATGACTTTCCTCCGATATATATATATATTTCTTCTTTTGCTGGATGCGCTGCTTCAGACGATTTGGCATAACATTTAAGGTGACGCCTTATAAAAAATCGTGGTTTTCTCATGTGCCCTGTTTAACTCTTCGTAATTGAATAAATGCATGTTGAACGATTTTCATTTTGTATATTGAAAGAGACGAAAACAACAAAATACATACATGGCAAAGCGAAAGAACGTTTGTAACAAATCAACCGAAAAATAAAAGACGATCAGATGCTCATCAGACACGTGAACATGCTTTCCAGAAAAAAATGACTCATGATTGTTTTCCAAATGAAATGTATTAGCATGCCAATCGAATAATGATCGTCGCATAAATCCAAAAAACTTTGCTATCCATATTTTTGAGTGTAAGTGTGTGTGTGTCGGAGCAATGAGGAATATATTGAATGATTTCAAATCGTATTATTGACCAAAAAATAATAGCCATCCAGTGATTCAGTTGTGTATGTAGAAAGAGAGCAAGAGAAAAGAATAATGTAATCTCTTCTGCGAAAAGTCAAAGCGCATATGAATTGGCGTACGTGCAATGGCGATGAGCTCAACCATAAAAATGTAATAGATACGGGATGCCATTTCACGTATCGGCCGATTCACATGGTAAAATTTTCACGACAAACCGCTCTCTTTCTACATTTTAGCGCACCAAACGAAATAAACGAAAAATATGAAGATAGCACATACCGCAATGCACCATGCATACCAATTGATATAGAAATGTGTAAGCTGAAAATGCATATAACACACCGTATTTTTCAGCGATTAGGCATAAAATGTATGTAACATCTTGCTACATATCTTGTGTGTGTGCTTAATTTGTGCTGCTGTTGTTCTAATGATCTAGCTTCTAGCCATTTTTTCCAATTACCGTTTTCACGTGTACCCATACCTTATACTCATTCAGCTACAATGTGCGCTCAATTTCTGGTCCTTGGATCGTCGTTGTGCTCGATCGACATACACCCAACATTTTATATGTGTTGGCCAAAATACACATTCATTTCGGATGCAAATACATCGACACAAAACCACATATACATATGGTGTAACATGGATTTTAACACAGCATATCCATCGCAAGGAAATCCATTTGTGTATATAGATTACTGGCTTTCTATAGATGAAAATGCATTCTCTCTCTCTTTTACATTGTTTCATTGCCGCATTCTTTGTGCAAGTCTGTGTAATCGCTCGTGGGAACTGGATCATTAGAACTGCTTACAAGCACAAAATGTTTGCACATGATTTTCTAGCCAGATTTTGCTTTATCATCCAATACGACCATGCCTTTTCACTTGCATTTTATTTCGTGCGCCTAATTTCATATATTCTTCATAAACGGCAAATTCTCGCGCAATGCTATTCTGCCATTCCATCCATATAATAGCTATTAATAGTGAATGGAAAATTATTTTATCGATTTTATATTGCCTTGCAATCACAAAACAACTTACCATATAGTCTAGCAGAATATTCACCAGATGAATCCACTTTCTTGTACATATTTACTTTCTAATTTAGCGATGTTGCGTTTTGTTTTAGTTCATCGATTAATCCATATTTCATTTGTTTATTAAACTCAGAATTATTTGCATTCAAATCCATAATTGAGTGATGATTTTTTTCGCATATATAATTTACCATATAAAAACTAATTACATTATCTTGTTTCATTTCAGAATTTAACAACGAAGACAAAAATCAAAGCGGCAACACATTTGCTACAGTTAATACTAATATAAGATAAGGTGAGTTAAACAAAGTTTTTATGGGCAACTATCAAACGGGCTATTAGATATACATATGTATTCGCATCCATTATGGTAGCTGTATTCTTATACAATTCAATGTAACAAACAAAAAAAAGACAACATAGATTAACAAACCAGACATTAACAAACTAGACTAAGACTATCAGTTAAAAAAAACATTTCACGTTTTTATTGATGCGCCATTTGGTGCAACTATACATAAAAAGAATCTCCGACTAATTCAAATTGGTTGACCGTGATTTTATTGTTATACAAATCAGTTCGAATAATATTTGATCGTTTATGGGCCGGAAATCGGGCATTCTCAATAGAGAAAATGAAAAAAAAAACCGTCCCGGTTTGGTCGACTAACATTTTTTTCCACGTGGAAGAGAAACGCATTTATTTCACAGTTTTATAACTTGCACTTAATTTTATGATTTGACTTTAATGTTAAAACTGAAAAAGTGACCGATACATTTTCCAAGAGATCGTTCGAAAAGTTATTTGGTTTTTGTTACTGGTCATTGCTTTACATAATATCTTTCTATCCAAATGAAAGCTACTGTGGCAAAATATTTTCTATCGCTTGCTACCGTTTTCTATGATATTTGGTTTCACAAAAAAAAAAATCTGCTTTGCCGTTGAAAATGAACGAATTGCGTTGTTATTTTTACGTTCTACCCAAAGAAGACGAAAGAAAAAATCAATACAATATGATGAATGTTTGTGAATGTGTTGAAAACAACGAAAGACAAAAACAAAAATAAGAACATTATACGAAAAACGCGATTCAGTTCTATGGAAAATCATAATTCATATTTGGCTGAAAAACTTTTAAAACCTTTAAAATGAATTATGTTTAAGGTTCAATTACAAAAGTGCTGGTAGTCAGTAGCAAAATAGACAACGGTTAGAATCGTGGATGCCCACGTTCACTTCACTGATTATTGTTTCCATGGATGTGTTGTTGTTTTTGTTGTTGCTTTTATAATGATTTGCACGTTTGCCATTGCAATGACGAACCAGACGCAAGAGCATATTGTTCGCATTGCAAAACGTTCTAGGCAAATATACCGATCCAGTGATTTCTTACGTAAAACGTATTTTTTTTTCGTTTGTTCCGTATGAAAAAAGCCGCAAATGAAAACGCTAAAGCATAAAAAGTTCAAAGTATAAAAACATTTAGAAAGAAATTAATAACAATAACCCATTCGAAAATGCTCCCATAAAGTACTATTCAGGTTTGGTCGAGCAATGTGCAAGCATGTCGTCTGGAGAAAAAACACACACTCACACATCTCACTCAAGCTGCATAGATTTACCAGCAATGTGGCAATTCACAATTAGATTCAAACTTCTACGAATGATAGATTCAAGCATTTTTGTCATAACAACACTGGGAAAATGCAGTTTTGAGGTGACCTGTAAAAGCATTTGTATAACTCATTTGATTCGTATAAACTCTCTTCGATACCATATTGAACACACCTTTTTTCTTCTTTCGCCTGTGGAACATGCTCATTGCACCGAAATGTGTTATGAACAATTGATCAAGCTTAACATAGAACGAGTAAGGCAATTTTGCGTTCGCCAAATCATTCCAATGAACTGAATGAAGCGAAAGCATCTATAAATCGTAGAACAGTGAGAGCACATAAGTCAGTTCAAAGCCACACATACCAACAAAATCATTCTTATCTTCGTTTTTCTTATAAAGATGCTATACAATTCATTAAACATTCTTCGCGGTCGGCTGTCATTATTCGTACTCGATTCCATTCGATTGTTTAGGCAATGAACCACTGCAACACTAGCTTACATTTGATTCGTTACATGTAATTGCCCAATGTCATGACATGAAATATTCGCAATTGTTTTATTATACGCTTGGTTGAACAAAGTCCGAAACTATGATTGAAATAACAAAAGCATGAAATACAAAAATATTATTGATAAAATGTGATTTTTTGAATGACGAACATGAAAAGTTGATCGCTAATCAGCGGACAAAAGATACACTTGAAACGCATTCAAATGACCAATTCAATTTGAAAGCGTACAACAAAGTAAATAGTCCTTCGAAATGAAAACAAAACAAAAGTCAAAAGAGAGATAGAGCGAGAGAGAGAGAAATACAATGAAACAGAAAACAAAATTGATAAAAAAATAAAGTATACTAACAGCCACGATGACTTTCCAATCACATAATCGAAACTATTTCGATTCGTAAACAATCATTATTAATGAAACATTTGAAATGGCTTTTATTTCAAAGAAAATTCCCTGAAAATTCGAGATCGCTTTATTGCCAAACGAAAATATTTGAGTTAAATAGTTTTTGTGCAATTAGTGCATTTTCACAAATATTAATTGCATAAATCTCAAATATTGAAAGAAACATTGAAAATTGTTCTTTTTGTTGCGAGCATCACTTTTACGATGAAGTGTGAAAAATAGCCAAACAAGTAATGCTATATAGAATTTATGTTTCCGAAGAAAACAAATGTGCACAAGTGCAAACCACCGACATATGCACAATGCAAAATATTGGTTTTCTGTTGTTGTTGGCCAATCGACAAAATGTTTGGTCGAATGCATTGGTTACGGATTTGTTGTGCGCATTGATCATTGTTCAAATCTTGTGAATGCTGACCAGCAAATTGCTTTTACATACAGATTAGCCACTATTTCTTCAGTATCGGCAAGCGATACGGTCAGTATAAAACCATGTGAAACATTACCGGTCATATTCGCGTTTTCTCGCACAAAATTCCATTGTGTGCGCAATGCGCATGTGAACTATGTGGAATTTTTATTCTTTCGCATCGAAGTGTATGTTCGTCTTTACTGCACGCCGATGCTCAATCGAAACACCAACAATAACGAAAACAAAAAGGAGTTTTTGTGTGTGCACAGCGCACTCACAATTTCTCATTAAAAAATTTCATTTCACAGATAAAGCTGGAATTTGTTTCATTAGATATACGATAAGAATTTTTATGGATGCTACATAGATATTGTTTTGCAGAGTTTGAAAAAGTTTCATGTACGGTACTTTGCGTGCATCACTGCCTTTTTTACTTGTGATCTATAGATATTTTCAAATTGAACTCGAAACATCGCAAACAATTTATTAATAACCTTGCGTGAAAATTATGGGCGCGCGCACATTCACATCAATAGTATTAGCTGCAAATATAAAAAAAAAGTATCACCATAACCTCATGCATTTCATTCAATCGTTTTTATTTTTTATTTTTTGTGTGTGTGTGTGTGGAATAGCTTTATTTTTCATGTCGTTGGCCGAACGATAGTTTATTATTAAAAAGCAATTCTACATCAGCGAGACACTTCATTTGAACCTGTTTATTTCGGGGGGTTATTGGAAAAATGCGCATCACTGGTTTCTCATATCTCGCGTTGGCGTTAAGTGTTGTGTGTGTGTGTGTGTCTGCAAGTTTGTTGCACATCTTTGCATCGGGTTCGATAGCTTCCGATGTGAGCGATGGAAAGTCATTTTCTCGTTGAATTGTATTTGCTATTGCCGAGTGACTTTAGAGCCATTGTTTTGTTGTGTTTGGCAATAGATTTAAATTAATAATTGTAAATCACAATACATAAATTTTACCTCTTCTACCGCCTCAGTGTTAATGCTTGTAACGGCCCATCACATCAACATTTTCCAAAACAAGTTTTTGATTCAAATCACATATTGTGCCGCATATACACATTCAAATAAGTTGAATACATTGAACATATATAATGCAACATAATTCTTTCGCATATGTCTTCCAATGTGTAATATAAATCGGTATTAATTGAAAAGAAGAAGAGAGAAAAAAAAAATGATTTTGCATGGCCATAGACTTTAGAGCATTTGCATGCGAATAGATGCACACAGGTTGACAATAATGGTCATCGATTGGTTATTACTCGTTTATCCATTACAATCTCGCAATAGTGCACGAGTGATCAAACTCTACTTGTCTCTCGAAAGTTGAGGGTTCATCGAAATTAAAACGTACAATTTTAATGAAGTTTAGTTAGATAAAAAAAAGAGAGAGAGAGAGAGACAAAGACAGAATCTGTGAAAAGAAAAGAAACGAGATGGAAAACGCGCACAAAAACACATAAAACCGGATCGCATTGCATTCGTTATGTACACTCAATACCTTTTCTCTCTGATGCAGTTCAACAGATGCTCATATAGATAAATTTATAATGATAAACGAAATATACTACAGCGCACAGATAAACCAAACGAAGAGCAAGTGGTAGACACATAGAAAAAAGTAAAGAGCGAAAAGAAGAAAATAAATCTGTTTGAAAAATCGTTAAGCTCTTACCTTACGGTCAAAAGATAAACGATGCGATCTCTTAACTACGCTATGCGTTTAATGTTCCTTTTCACGTTTTTCTGGTATTAATTTTATTGTGAGTTTTAATTTTTAACGCTTAAAGCTATTATCTTAAACAATTTAATGAACAAAAAGGAGAAGAAACAAAAAAAAAAACAACTACAAAAAAAGAAAAAAATAGTATTCATTGAACGACTGAACCAACAAGTAAACGAATGAAACCACAATGCATCAACATACATTGTTAGCGAATAAGAAACTAAATTCAACAATAAATCGAAATTATTTTTAATGTGGTTAAAAAAAACAAATTTCGATTCATTTCGGGCAATAATGGGTAACTTGCTTGATTGACAAAATAAACATTGTTTGCATGTGCTTTAGGCTTAATTATATTCCAATAAAACACCCAGCGCTTTTCGTTTTCTTATTTTCAATGATGGACAGTTGAAAATGAAATGACATTCCAAATCATCCAGTTTTTGCATCACGAAGCATGAAGTGTTTTGATGATGATGACGAAGAAGAAATCAATGACATTCATAGGTGTTGACGCCAAAGATTTTAGAGGGAGGTCCTGCTAAAAGTCGATTGTATATGGTGTAAACAAATTGGAAAGAGGTTCTTGATTTTACTCGGATCAAAAGTGATGACCTCCTATATTTTTCTAGAGGGAGGTAATCGGGTTCCTCGAAAGACCTATGACTACACTTAATCAAATTTTCGTACCACTCCGAGTGCGTCTTCATTTGGCTTAAAAAAGCTGACTAAATAGATGACTTTAACTAAAAATTGACGAATCACTCGATTTACGATTTACGTTTAAAAAAAATCGGAGCTCATAAAATGCAAGTATTTTGAACGATTTTAAATTGAAACTACCGAAAACAATGAATAAAACCGAATTGGTTTTTAGAGCGTATCGCTGACATTGCATCATTTTCCATTTGCGTAATAGATGAACTAGCTCTTTTTTTTCTGCATGTTTGCTCAATAGTTTCTTTGCAAACTGATGATTTTGTGTGATGCGATGGTTTTCGTTTTTGTTCGTTGTCTCGTCGTTAGACGTTTGCTCTGAAAGCTACTTTATTTCGTCAACCTTTTGCCTGACCTCCAGACGCGTATCGAACATTTACTCAGGTTGATTTCATTAATGAAACTATTTTTGACTCGTCGCTGTTTGAAATGAACTAATAAAAACGTATCGTGAGCGTGCGCGCGTACTATGTACAAAATCTCATTTACAGACATTTTCTCAGTGGCTATTAATTGCGATATGATTAACCAATTATTGAGTTCGAAATGTAAATTTGTGAAACGGAAACGATACACGAGTTTAACTGTAGCCATGATCAACGCAATATGCCATTGTGTTTCACGATCATCTCAACTAAATAACCAGATCACAATTTAATTTTCGGCCAAGCAATTTCATCTTGTCATACATTTGTTTTTTTTTGCTCCTCAGTTTTTTTCTTTCTTGCTTTCAATCCTTTGCTCGCTTTATTTCATTCTGCCATCAAACTTTGTCCACAATCTCGCATTGTCATCGCATTCAATAACAGTCAAGGTTAATATGAATTTCTGGATGCTATTGAGGCTAAGTGTAAGTTTATGATGCGTGCCGAGACGTATGCTGTGGGGAAGAAGAAGAAGAGACAAAAACAAAATTATATTGCGACAAGAGAAAAAAAAGAGTCTCAAGTGTATCGCTACAATTCACGATAAACAAAAGAGAACGAATCGCATTTAAGTCAATTCAAAGATGAAATTATTTTACGCCGGATACACAATACATAGTAGCCAAATTTGCATTAAATTTTTTTTGTGTGTGGATAGATAGACTTCATGCACATTAAGATGAGCCGAAAATGTTGCAAGCTAATGTCACAATAATCCTTCATATTTTGGTACATATCTAACTTCGATATATATTTTTTTAAATGTAATGTTTCGATTTTCGTCTTTTGACTAAATGAATCCAACAAAAGAAAAATCTCGGTCAACAGCCGTACGACATGAAATGCTTCACCAAAACAAAAGTGAACACATGCAAATGACGATTAAAAGAAATTCACCAACAATGTTTGGATACATTTTTTATTCATCTTTGTCGTAAGCGAAGAATTTGAAACATCAAATCAAGACGTATTGCAAAGGAATTTTGTTTGGCCAAGGCCATACAGAGAATTAGGGAACAAATAGACTACTCTAACTCAATATCAAATCAATTAAAGATCGAATTAAGAAAAGAATGTGCACTTTGATTGAGATGCACAAAACAAGAACGGCGAAAGAGAGAAAAAAATGCCCGGTCAGACGTTTGAAACGAAGCGGATAATCATAAATAATACAAATTGACACAAGCATGACGCATATGTAGAACGTTGAATCCAAGAAACGATGTAATGAAGGAGGAATTTTGGCTGAAAAAAAAAAGATACAATGCATAAGAAACAAACGAAAGTAATGTGGGGAGAGAAATCAAATTCTGTATGTAGTCAACACTGCTAAATCGACGACGTTATTATAATACGATTCAAATCGTCGTTAGCATTTGGTTCAATCGAAAACCTCATTAATTTTGATTTATTAGAGATGCTGAGAACGTCATGACTGGCTAATTTTTCTATTTTTGCTCCACGATCGCTACAATTTTGGACAAAACAAGGACAAGAAGCAACTTAAATTGTAAGAACAAAAAAAATTAGACATCGCCAAAATATCACACGTCTCAATATGCTTGCTATATATATTATGTATGAAATGTTCAAAGTCAACCTGAGACACTCGTTTATTTTATTTTTTATCTTTGTGGCAAATTATAATTGTTTATCTCTGCTGGATCGAAACTACTAAATACATAGATTCATTTCAGAATCATAGATATTCTTGTTTGAACGATTTAACTGTACGAACGCGTCGTTCGACAATACTGTATTGCAATGATTGTGATTACCTTAGACGCAATCGAAGTGTACGTTATGTCCATGAGCTATTTGTGAATCGATCTAATGAAACCGTTTCTTTTGTTTGTTATATGTGTGCGTGTAAGTGTGAGTTACACCAAAACTTGGTGTATATCATTTTGTATTTCGCATAGATAACAAATATTGTACATTATTGGTAATGGGCATTCTCTGTATTGCTTCTTATTCATTCTTTCTCTTTCTCTCGCTCTCCAACCTTAGATCGTTTTTTACTATCTAAGGCAATATGTATTCCAACGGTGAATATGGCCCTTGTATCGTATGAAATAAAACGCTATTTCCTTGAAAAAGAAACCAAACACCATAAATTCAAAGTTGATGAATAATGAAGCGTGAATCTTGAAAATTTATTATTTTCATAATTTAAATAAATGAACGAATATTTTTTACAACTATGAACCCAATGAATTTTATTAACATCGCCACATTGACATGGCATAAATTTTCACGTTTATTGCATATTTATGGAAATGATATGAAATGGTACTCAAATGTTTGGTACACACAGGAAAACAAATACACAACAACATCAACGAAACAAAAAATGCCATTAAACTAAAAGAGACTCTCTAACATAGAGAGAGAGAGAGAGTCGACACCAATGTTTTACAAATTTGCGTAAAAAAAATAAATGTTAGAAGAAGAGACTTCTATAAATGGCTCGGTCGCTTATAAAGCACACATATCCAAAGGCCGACAGAGATATGCTCAAACTTGTCAAATATTTTATTTGTATAGTGTGACATATTTTGGGATACATGACAAGTGAATAATTCGAATTTTGAATTTTATTTACCTTTTGCTTGAAATCGTTTCACATGCAACACATTCGCATGGAATGTCGACGATAGTTTATAAGTCATATTTTTTTTTTTTTTTTTTGAATTTCATTTCGTTTTGTTCGTTGTCTTTCTTATTTCTTTTATTTCCATTCGTATGTTTTGCATCTCGTGACATATTTATTGACGATATTCAATCGATATAATCTAGATCTCATCGAAAATCCTTTTTGGCCCAATTTTAGCAACAATTTCGTTTTGATTGTTCGCATATGAATAAAACAAAATCTACAAACACAAAATGCATTCGTATGATATTGATATAAATGGAATAACATCAATAAAACGCAAATGTTATTTATCTTGAACCGCTTTGACTTTGACTTTATTCATTGGAATGAATTCATTTATAGCACATGAATGACACATTCCGCTGTCGTTATTATTGTAATAGGCTCCGTCTGTAAAATCTACCTGATTTTGTGCATATTTGAGATAATCAACAAAACTGCCAGAACAACAGAACAGAACAACAAAAACAACAAAACCGACTGAATATTTTCATTTGGTGTTCACGTCCTTGAACTTAATCAATAAATGATTTTGTTCGTGTTTCTTATTAACGTTCTTTTTGCATTTGCTCATTCTAACTGTGTCGTTATTTCTGTTATTCTATCTGCACCATTTGAATTTGGGACAGTTTTTAATTTATCAAATTGAATATTAAAAAAAAAATAATCATTTTTTTTGTTACTTTCCTTTTTATTTGCAGATAATGAATCCATTATGCAAAGTTTGTGGTGATCCGGCGGCCGGGTATCATTTTGGAGCATTTACATGTGAAGGATGTAAGGTAAGGTGTCTCATGAAATTGTATTTCTTTTGTTTATTTTAATGACTTGTATCCGGCAAATATATATTATGAATATATTAATTGGGTGAAACGTAGACATGAATTTGGGCATGTAAATGTGATTGTGGCACCAGGATAAATGAAATAAAAAAAAAAACAATTTGAAAATGTAAAAAAAGAGGAACAGCAACAACAAAATTGGTGAAGTTCTGCACCGAAAGCGTTTTATACAAAAAAGGTTCGTCGTCTACTATAATTCATCGTCGCACGCTGTTAGTCTTTTGTTATTCCAAGTCACTTTGTAAATGTTTCAATGTGCAGTCTTGCTGCGCTGTTCGTCGACGCCGAAATAATTCCCATGAGTCATGCGCATATGAACTCTTTAATAGCTGGCACGTCTAAGTGCGTATGTGGCTGTTTGACTCTCTTTCTTCTTCTTCTTCTTTTTTTTCATATGGTTGTTTGTCAGTTAAAAGTCACGACGATGTGCACTGCTTTCTCACTGTTGTAGTGCCCACGCAATCAAAAATACAACACTCACACAGCGCAGATTGTGCGCAACTAGAGCGAGAAGGGTAAACAAACGAACCGAAACACACCACATTTCAAACGGCGTTGTGCGCTCTCTGCTCTGTTCGCTGCCTTATTCTCTTTTTTTTTCTTGTAAACTTCAATACGAATATATCTGACTTGTAATTTAGTTCAAAGTGATCACAATCAAAACAATGTACAAATAAAAGTGATCTTGAAATTGAATTTTTTCCCTACTCGTTTTCGTTACGTTTTTTTAACAGTTTTTTTCTTCTTCTCTGTCTTACATTTGTACACTTTTTTCGGTTTATTTCCATTTTTATTTCAACATTTGGATCAGGCGTGCAAAAAAAAACAAAAATCAAAGAATATCAAGCACAAGAGAAGAGAGAACTTTTGTGTACACTTCGTTTTTATTCACATTTGTGTACATACAGCCTTTCAGGTCGTTTGTTTATTGCGTCAATTTGAAATCGAAAATTTTACCAATTTCCATCGTCTCTCGCTCGTTTTTTTTTTCATGCGCTTCGCCTTGTTTCATTATTTCAAAGTGCAATATCGTTTATGTATGCCGTAACTGTTGAGCACATACAGACACATAGAGATTCAGTGATTGTTATTTAAAAATAACAGTTTTGCTCGAAACGAATTGAATTGAGAAGAAGAAGAAGATGGAAAAGAAGAAGTAGACAGAGGTAAAGATCGTTATGAATTACTCTATCTCAACTGAAATTAAATTGAGTAATAACGAAACGACAAAACAGAAACACGTTGAATTTTTCGCGATTATATGCTTCACTTGGATATTGTAATTGAAATGAAACGAACTGAACCATACTGTTGTACTCTAATGTAGCGTGTATCGTATCCAGTGCATCGTACATGCTTCGAATGTTTGTTTTTTTGTGTGTGTGTGAATCGATTCATTTTTCTATTGTTTGTGATTTATTTATTTATTTTTGGTTAAATAAATTTGATGCTATAACTTTCTCATAGATTAATGACAAACAATTTTGTTTTGTTTCTATTTTGCAGTCATTTTTTGGTCGGGCCTGTAATAAATCGCAAACAATTCCAGAATGCAAGAAAAATAGTAAATGTGTCATCAATAAAAATACACGAACAACATGTAAGGCGTGTCGTTTAAAGAAATGCATTCAGGTTGGTATGTCCAAGGGTGGCTCAAAGTTTGGTCGCCGATCGAATTGGTTCAAAATCAATTTTCTGCTGGAGGAAAAACAAAAGGCATCAATGAAATTGAATAACATAAGCGAACAAATGAAATCAGTTACGGAAAATAGCTTGTTTACGCAGGCATCTGCGTTATTTCCAAAATTTTCACAACAAAATCAACAGCCATCACCCTCATCGACATCATCATCAAATAGCTTAGACATGGCATCATCCATTCCATCGTACGCAAATTTTCCAAGAAATCATGACCTATCGCTGCAATCAAATCCATTTTATTCGGCCGCAATGCAATATCCATTGCACCCGGCATTGCTTCAAACGGCAATTGAAGGATTGTCGGCATTTTATTTTAATCAAAATATATTACAACAACAGCGAAACGAATCGGTATCAAGTAATGCAAGCAATGATGAAACCGATTCGGATTCAGCATCAAATGGTGGTGCTCAACAACACAATACCAACGCATCAAATTTAAGAATATCCACCTCACCAACACCATCAACTTCATCGTCTAGCGATAATCAAGACTGTCCAATGGATTTGAGCATCAAATCGACACCTCGTCAAATTGATTTCTCAATATCAAGTCTACTGAAAATTCCAAAAATACCCACAGCCTAAAATAAACTAGACTACGTAGATATTTTAATTTTACACTTATTTTGTTGATGTTTTTATTTCTTCTTAGGCATTTCACATGATATTGTTACATTTAAATGAAAGAATTTACCGAATGGGGGGAATCGATATTTTTTATACATTTATCTAAAGTTTGAACCATTTAGAGCGATAAATATATAATGAATACCTTTAAAATATTTTTGCGATATACCGTATGTACTAATTACAAAAATGTGCCCGAACAATTGCAAACTTAAAACAAAATATCGTTACGCATCTCAGAATCTGCATTATCTGAAATGCAATTGAAAATAATTTGTTTGGAAAATGTATAGTTTAATAGGCGGAAATATTAAAGTATGTCGATTTAAAAAATATAAATAAATAAACTGCATTTAATGAATTTCAAATGATTGAACCTTTCAATTTTGCTTCATATATATAAAGAAGAACGTACAAAATTCGACTTGGTTATGGTAAGTAAGAGAACAAATACAGAGTAAGTAAGAGAACATTTTTCAGAAGTCAAAAAAACATCAATTTCCGAAATATTTTTGTATTTTCTACAACAAGTATTCATATAACAACTCCTTTTTTTCTTGATACTTTTGTAAAACGAATGATTTATTAACCAAATTAAAATTTGTTATTGCAATACATCTGGAACACTATGAAAGGTGTTGTGCATATTCACAAGTGCATTCTTATCCCAAGCCAAATGATATAATGAGATTCCACTTCTTATATCGATCAAAATGTCGTCCGTTGATTGGAATGTTTTTATAAAATCTTGCAATTTATCTTGTCGTGGTTTGGTGGGAATGTATTGAATTTACTTTAAAGGAATTTCAATGTTCTGTCGTTGAATAAAGCTATTTACACACGCTCAATGGAATTTGAATACATTTTAAAGCAAAGTCCATAAACAATGAAAATTATTGGCACATTCTTGTGGTGGTTTTATTAATTTAGATTTGGATCAGTCTCCCAAAATATAACTTAATGAAATCAACTTAGTTTCAGATTCTTTTTAGTCGGCTAAGTGAATCCATTTTGCTTCGTAACAAGATTTTTACAAATTCTTTACTTTAATCGATAATTCTTCGATTCAAACTTGTCTACACTTATTTGTGAGAATGAAAAATAAACGGAAAAAATAACATGGAAAATGTTTGTGTAAATTTGTTGTATTGATTCCAATTCGAGAACTAAGCATTCAAAATAGTTTTGTTACAACCCCGTACACTTGTTCAAAGTCTGAAATTGCCGCATCCATAGTGAATGGAATGTACGAATTGAACGATCAACATAATTAGAGGCCAAAAGCGAGGAAAATGCATTTTGTTTACATTCTTTTTGGCTCAGATGATTTCAAGAAGCTGCTTGAATGTTGAATCGTTGTTTCAAGAATGGTACGTCAAATATTTGCTTGTATTCAGTAATTTTATTGGCAGGGACTATTTCATTTGGCGCCCTAGTGCAGACGGGAATATTTAACCAGAGACTCGATCGCTTTAGCACTTCATTGCATTGCACCTATGTTAAAACCGCTGATAGCTATATAATGAATTTGCTCAGTGGTCAGATCATCTACAAGACATTTGAAGAAGATCTAATTTTATGAACCGCTTGCTATTACATCAATTGAGCACTCATCTCATTTTTATGGTGCAGTTGTAATGTGTTCAAAATTGTTGATATTGAAGCATGCAAAATTTGAGCAACTTCGGAAATATAAAGCATCCCATTCGTAAAAAGAGCATGATTTATAAACATAAAACAAGTAAGCTAAAACTCATTCCCACGTTATGCGATTCAAGTACTTCCAATTCGTTGTACGTCATATTATTTTTGGCTTGATCCATTTCCTTTCTTAACAATGCCGGCTTTGTTTCATTTAATTTTTGTACTAAAATTCATTTGGACCTACGTTTAACCATTTAACATTTCGGCACATGAGAAAAGGTAATATAATGTCAATGAAACATGCTATTGAAGAAAATAAAGCAAAGTCAAATATATGCACGTGTCACTATTCGGTGTAAAATCAAAAGAAGAATGTATAAACAATCTCCAAACTTGATAATCAGTTCTGTTTAGCGAACATTTTATTGATTTATCTGTTTACGAAACCAAAAATGGACTTTTGTAAAATCCTATGAAGCTTCATACACGTTATATATATATAACATGTGAGCGCCATAAATGTAAATAAATCTTTTATTTAACACTCACTTACTTAAATAAAACATATACTAGGAATACACCCTTGAATAATGAATTATTTAATATACATGGTGTTCCGCAATTCATTGTCAATATATCTACCCCAGTTTCTTTGAAGAGTAAAAAAGTATAATTTTCATGTTTTGTTATGTCGGCTATGCTCTGATTTTTATGATACCCAACAAACAAAAGCTGATCATTTAATTACAACATTTGATATGGAAAATCGCAGCTTTGAAGGGCCTGAAGTTGGAATAGGCTTTCTTAGCCAATCAAACATGCGCGCTGGGGGGGGGTTCCGGTTTGACCCCCACCTGAGGCAAATTTTTCAAAATTTACCCCCGGGTAAATTTTTAGGAGATTTACCAGTTTGACCCCCCTCTGAGAATTTTTTCTCAGATTTGCAATATAAATGTATAAACAATAGCAAAAATACACTGATTTTGAAGTCAAACTTGCAAAATTTCAGCTCGCTTCGCTCGCCAACACACATTTTCACTTGTTTCTCTCATGCAAAATTGTTATTTTAGTTTTCCATATAAATACCCCCTCCCCCTCGAGACCAAAGTCAATTTGACCCCCCCTGATCAAAAAACCGTGCGCATGTGTGTTAGCCATTTTCAGAGTATTTTGGACCAAAATGACACTTTGGACTAACAAACAGACAATATATTGGGTTGACTATTTATTTGGAATGACACGAAATAGCATGCTTAATGGGACAATTTAATTTTGTGACAATAATAATTTGGCTCTTCAATGTGGCACCGAAAATGTAGAGTTCTATTTCATCTAATTTCAAATGAATCGTCAGCTCAATATATATTGTCTGCTAAAAGCTCTTTAACTTTTACTTCCAGTGTGTTCACAAAAAATAGTTCACATGATTAAAATTGTATTAGATCTGAAGGAATAAAGATTGTGTGTTTGAGAAGCATATAAATATATTGGAAATATTCTCATTGGTGTAGGTATTAATGAAACGAGAGAACAGAAACAGAAAGTATGCAAAATTATTCAAAAAGAGATATATATTCATCATTTTTCATTTTGGATCTGAATTCAAAAGTTAAGACTCAATTATCGACTCAAACCGATTTGAATAAATGTCAAATCAGTAGAGAAATTGCCAACGAAATAACCAATTTCATGAAGAATAAGATGAACCAAAAGGTTATCCAAAGGTATAAAATTAAACGAAAAATGTGGAAAAAAAAAATTTATGAAAAATATTCTATTAATTCAGTGAAATATCACTTAGTGATGAAGAAAAAGGTATGCAAAAATATGAAAATCTGTGTACCATTTATTCATTCGTCGTCTGTTTTGGCGGGGCTCATTTCGTGATGCCTAAAAATATCGTGCCGAGATCGTGTCATCAAACCACTTGTCTCATCGATGTTTTATTTGTCTCGTTTCCTTTTCATTTATTTGGTATTCATTTGAATCAAGCGGTGTATGTATAACAAATGATTTGGGAGTGGCCTACCTTGGTCATCGGAAAATATTATTCATTTAATATGGCTTATCAAATTATGATATTGATTTTGCTTTTGAACCAATCTGTGTCGTAATTGTGAATTATTTAAATAGTACAAGAAACACGATTTTAATAGCCATCTATCGATCGTATGTTTTTTTTATCGAGGATATAATTTTTTTTTTAGAAAAATCAGATCTTTAGAATATATTTAAATGTTTTTAATGCTTAAAGCCAAGCATGTATTGACTTCCTCACTATTTTTTCTATATTTTTCAAAGTTCTAATTTCAGTTTGTATACACCTTTTAAATGGTATAGTTCAAATCAAGGACTTCAAAATATAAACAAAATAAACGGTGTTGACTGTACAAATGAACAAAATGAAATGAATGCATTCAGAAATTAAAAAGAAAAGAAGAAACAATAATATATGGAACACAGTTCTGAATTCGAACGAAAATAATTTGTAATGCGATGATCGTTCAAATATATTTAAAGTAATCTCAGTGGTGAAGTGGAGCATACACACGACCAAACAGAAAATATATATATATATAAAACAACAACGCTAAAGTGAAACAGAAAACAGAGTAAAGCATAACGCTGCCAACAAAACAAAACAACACGAAACGAAGCGAGAATTCCATATTGTTGCGTTAACTATCGGTCAAATTGTATATAAATAATGATGATTCGCGACAGCAGACTAATATCGTGCTGATTTTGATTGCCAGATTAAATTTAAAATTATTATTTTGCATCGAGTTTTTCGGATACGATTATTATTTCTTCGTATTTGTCAAGTTATTCGAAATTCGAACACACAAGTGTGTCGAACGATATAAATCTAATTTAAATAACGATTTTGACTTTTGTTGGCTTATAAAAATGCATATGATATGAGTGATTTACATCGAGCACAAGCCTCTTCATCCAAAATGGATCGAATTCGATGCTGAATCGATAGCTCAACATTTGAATAAAAAATTCATTTAAACAAACAAAAAATTGCATTTCTTTTTTTTCTTGCTATGCTCAACGAATGAACATCGTATTCTAAACATCAGAAAATATAAATTGCTTTTATTCAAACAAAACAGATTTCCACAATCAAAATGCTCAAATCAGCGAATCCTTACATTGCGGTTTTATGTTTCACACAATCCAGAGTATGCACTCAAAATGTTGGATGTAGAGCAAAATTGCTGATGAACCGGTGCATTGATGCACCATGAATTGGGAGGAAGCCAATTAATAGTTTTCTAGAGGAAAACAAGTGTGAAGTGCAACATCTAAATGATTGTTATAATTCATAACATGACACATAGACGGAGAATAAGTGCACACACACAAAACTACGAATACGAATGGAAACGAAAAGAATACTAGAAACTGACAGTCATTCAAGAAGTGTTGTACTTAATCTGTCATGTTTTACCATGCAATTTTTCTTTCATATTCATTTCATGTTTCATTGGAAATTATTCGTCATAAGTTTTTTTTTTTTAATTCTTTCTCTCTCCTACATCTTGCCATCGTGTCGTATTCCATAATCATATCACATTTAAAGAAACAGAGTGTGGAGCTTATGTGCTATGGACATGATAAAGTATCGCTTATGGGAAATAAGAAATGAT